CAAGAAGAGAGGCATCTACAGGAGCTGCTAAGAATGTAGGATTTGGACTTGCTGGGCAGGCAATAATCAGATCAAGAACTGAAACTGGTTTGACAGTTCTTGGGAAATTGAAGGCTAGATTGTCCACTTTGTGCTCATAAATTTTTCCATTTCTGTCCAGTTTATACCGTGAAGTTCCTTGAAATTCCCCTTTGGATTCCCAAGGAACTCTAGGGATTCCTCTCAAGTTCCACCTTATCAGAATCTCATTCTCTGAAGGTTGCCATATCCGATAAACATCAAGAGCAATCTCACGGAACAACATTTTCCCATGAAACCGCAATGCCCAGAATATCAATTTGTACTTCTCAATTCCAGTAAATGTGTTCAGAGGGTCCATGAATGTTATATCATCCCTGAAATGATCAAAATTCCACCTTTCTGAGAAAAAGCTAAGCTTCAAAAACACCAATAAAGAAGGAAACTAAAACCCAATCTTGGCATGACGGAAACTAAAACCCCATCTTGGCATGACCCACTATCAATTGTTCTCTCATATATAATTGGACTCTATTTCAACATCATAGTCCTTTTTATCCATAAAAAATTGAACAAAACCATCTAATCGCCTCTAAAAAGTAAGAACTTGACACAAAACCGTACTTGAGAGTATAAAGTAAAAATTGGGTACGTATCAAAGAAGTGAAAGGAGAAGAAAAGAAAATGACCTGTAAATGTCGAAATTGAGATCTTTGATGAAGAGCAAAGGCAGGTCTTCACGGAGAGTACGAACAGCAAGGCCGAGATTGAGAAAGAAGTCGTGTTTTTTATGACTTTCGTCTTGGGCAGGAGGAGGAGTGTCGACCTGCGCAACCTGTGAAGTGGGATTCTGGAGAGTGGTCAATGAAGACGACAAAACTGACGAAAGAGGAGAGAGAGAAGAGGGTTTGGAAGGAGAAAGGGTTTGGTGAAGAGGTTTCTCTTTGAATTTAGTGGAATGGGGAAGGAGAGAAACAGGGAGGTTGTGGAGAAGAAAAGCCATGGCCTTCTTCCTGCTCAGGAAACAAACCAAGGTGGTTCTTTTCAAATTTGGGACGCCCGGCACATAACCTTGAAATGAGATTGCAGAAAATTCAGAAAATGATTGATTATAATATCCGCACAAAAATGTTAATCGCACAAGATTAAAATGGATAGTATAAACGAAATAATTAAAAAAAATCAAAGTATTTATATTCCCAAAAAAATATGTTGTTCATCTTTCCAGAGTAAGTAAAGGTATAACTAACTTTGGCGGGAGGGAAATGACCACCGTATAACACAAAGGAAAAAGCAAAATTAGTTGATGGTGGATGGAAAATAGATATTTTGGGATAGACACGAAACGTTTCAAATATCAAGCACATCATAATACTGCCTCAGGTTGTTAATATCAGGATTAGTTGAAAATTGTATCTAGTCTTAACTTTTAAATATAAAACACTAATCTATTTTGCCTTCTGAATTTGTAATTTATTCTCTAAAATATCCCTATTAATTATACATATTGAGAGAGTTTTTATTCAAGGAGAGTCAATAATTTTTAAAAAAATTTAACTTGTATTTATTGCAAATAACTAATATAATAAACTTTTTCGATCTACTTAAATTAGTTAAACAGCTCTTATATTAAGGATAAAAAATAATAGGTACAAAAAGGCATGCATTTGATACGTAAATTATTTGAATTTTAGTAACAGGCTATGAAAGGGGAAAAGGGAAAAAGAAAAACATGAAAGAGACAAACACATAATTGAAGAGACCAATCCTGTTTAAGTATAATCATTTCTTCAGCCATCACTAGCCATTAAAGCCAACATAATTAGAAGATAAGATAAGATGGAACTGTTGAAGCAACCAAACAAAATAATGAGAATGCGAAAAACAGGAGGGACATAGAATGCAATAATGTAAAATAGCTATCAAAGAAGAGATGGGGAAATGAATAGTGGGGTTGTGATGGTGAATGGCCAAAAAAAAATAAAAATAATAAAAAGATTGGTGCATTATTGGATTGGACGTGAGGTTTGTGCCTTGGATAAGAGCTGAAGGAAGTGACAATGATAATACAAACCGACTCGGATTTGAGAGGGTCCAAGGATTCTCATCTGGATATTCTTTCCACTCTGTGTGCCCACCACAGCACATTCCTTTTCTTTATTCCCTTCCCTTCAGCATCTTCCTTCATCCTTCCAAGGAAAGAGTTGAACACACAACTTTATATTTAAGTAAAACTTTAGGGACAGTTGAGAAGATAATTTAGAAGTTCTTTAAAGACTCTATTCGTTTTCCTAACAATCAATGAAACCTGAGAGAAATCTCACGGCTCATGATTTAAGGCACCTAAGTCCATTTTTAAGACTTTGTTTATAGGATTTTTGGCAGTTATATAAATACTTTTTTTTTTTTTGCTAAAGCGTGGATATCTTTCTATTAGAGACAATCCTGTTCGAGACACTGTTAGGCACTAAAAGTTGACACTTCTCCTAGTGGAGATTTAAATCTTGATTTGTTATTTTATGACGGATTAGTATCTTTAACTAGACTCAACTCGGTTGGTTTGTATAAATACTTTCTTAAAGCTTAAGTACTCTTTTTTTGTGAGTAATAAAGACTTTTGCCGATTTTTGGCCCAAAAGAGACTTGTTCGGTCTGCCTCTAGCAAATCCCCTCGGGCTTTTGAAGCCCAATTAAAGACAAACCGCAACCCCTGTTTCTCGTATTATAAAATCCTATTTTAAAAATTAATTATCCTGGTAAAAATAATTAATTTCTTGAAAAGTTCTTCTATTAGTGTATTCTATCCTATTATTTGTCTCAGAAACGAAATAAAAACAACGAATACGGAAATAGAAAAGATGCTTTGAAAAACCAATGCACAAAAATTGATCCTAAAATAGGGAATGAGGATAAATGGTAAATGAATTTGAAAGGGCAGATCCTAAAATCAATGTACAAAGATATACATAACTTGCACTGGTATTATAGAGTGTTCATTCCAGAATACTTGTTGAAATGCAAATTTGAAATTTTTATTTTAAAAATATTAAATAATCGAAATTCTTTAATTAGTGTTCCCGATAAAAATTTATTAATGAAGATTTAGTCATAATAGAAATTATTGTTCCTGATGAGAAAGTAAACAAAGCAAAATTAGATTCGGCCTTATAACTCTGATATGTTCATTAATTTATCCCATTAATATAAGCCGCGTTCCTTAAAGAAAACTCAGTTATATATTATCATTGATACTCTAATTTTTCTGTAGTGCTTCAATGAAGTAGTTTCAACCAGTCATACTGATTTAATTTAATGTTCGTTCTAGTTATCGTCTTCACTCCTAAATCCCATATCCTTTGATTTGACAAAGAAATTACTTGCATCATAACCCTCCAAAATATGGCCAACAGGGGAACTCGCAACATAGCTTCAAAGTCATTTGCTTTTAAAAACAAAAAAAAAAACAAAAACAAAAGAAGTAGATTGAAGTCCCTAGTGCAGCAAAAGCCAGGCAGAGATCTCCTGCAGAATCATCATCATCATACCATGGTCTTGTGCTCGGGCCTGTGAGTGAATTCAAAATCTATGTGCACAAAAGCCCTCTCAACTTCTGGAAGCTGTTCAAGCTTCACCTGAAGTGTCTCCCCAATATTGTGTGCTTCGTTCAGAAGCATGTCTTCTGGCAAGACGATATCAACTTCCACAAAGTAATGAGCACCAAAAGTGTATGCTCTAACTGTGTCTATGTGCTTAATTTGCTCATGGTGATTCCATATCAGATAGGTCAGTTTTGTCAGATAATCCGGCGGCGCTGTTCTTCCGATCAATGACCACACATTCTCAATCACAGTCTTCGCCCACGTGTTTATAGTATATAATGCTATCTGCCATTAGATTTTCAGTGAATTTCATTAGTTCATCAGTCAAAAACTGGCCTTGCAAGAGCAACCTAAGAAACATGCAATCAAGATAACACTGCGTGGACACTTAACTTTTGGGTTCCATTTGAAGTGTTAAGCATCTGATATCATATGGCTCTCGTCTCATTTTAATGTATTGGGGCTTCATAGGCAACAGGACATGCACAAAACAAATATGAACGCTGACTTAAGGTTAATTAAATCTGAAGTGTTATGATCATTGTTTGATGAAATTGTCAAACATGCATCAGATATGATATATGGCTCCTATTTTTATGATTTCGTGCTTCATAGATGATAACTTCGCTTCAAGATCATACAGGGTAGATGATTGAAGACAATATGGACGGTGCATAATCATGAGCTGATCAATATGTGTATCAGATAAGGAAAAATAGAGTCTTTGCCCTTTGGAAAGAAAAGAAAGCAAAGTGCTAGTAATTTCTAAACTCACAATGATAGCTCCTGTTGGATCAATCCACCAGCGGAACTTGACAGCAAGCACAGCAGCAGCTAAGCCAACTGAATTGGTGACAACATCAAAGAAATGATCTTGTGCATAGGCTCTGACTATTTCGTTTTTGAATCTTCTACAGTAGACCATAAGAATGAACTTCACTAAGGTCACAGTAGCCATAATCCCAATCATCCAATGCAGCTCTCTGGTATTCATGTCTGACTGGTGCTGTAAGAAAAGAATCATTAAAGAAATTAAATAGTATTGATAATGTTTACACGAAATCAATAACAGAGACCTCTGTGCTGCTATGCTTTTGAGGAACATTAATGTGCAAGAGTTGATCCAACTGTTTGGTATCTATTTGACAAACCATCAATATAAAGAAAATGACGTTCTTCATGAAGATATGTCGTTGCATGGAAGAGTGGGCTTATAACACCCATGTTTGAGACCAGATATGACAAGGTTATGGATCTAAAGGGTATAACAAGCATAACTGTTCCAGCCATAAAATGGTTTCATCTAATTTAAAGTGACGCAAAAGTTGAACTCAAATACCCCTGCAATAAGTCTCCTGGCAGACTCAAGCAAAATCTGCAGTCCCAGGGTTGCCATCACAGATGCAAAAACAATGATACCCTGCATCAGAAAACATGATCAGTATGAATCTGCCATAGGCCTTATATGGCTCTAATAGCATATAATTTTCATTCCCCCTCTAATAGCATTGTGAAACTACTCTACTCCTGGCTACATGAACAAAGTAACTCTGCTGGACTGAATCAGCTTATAGACTCACTTCTTACCACTGGTTGCATCCGTTTCTTGCCAATTGGGTAATGATATTGGTTTGGGTTTTTCATGGCATGGGAAGTGAACCACAATATCAACCCAGATAAGAGATCCAGGAGGGAGTCTAGTGTTGAGGCAATGACTGCTAACGATTGGCTCATAACTGAAGCATAAACCTTTGCTGAAAATAACACCAAGTTAGCAAAATTTGACACATGAACTGCCACTCTCTCCCTCTTTGCTAGTTGCTTCATTTCATCCTGAAAGACATAGCAGGAAAACCAAAGCTTTAGTTTGAAGATTACGAAGAATTATACATCAACAGATGTTCAGATAATCTATGACCGTTTGACAACAAATTTCACTGGGAGTCTGTGGCTGTATTCAACGGGTACATAGTATTCTGGTTCTATGTTCCTTTCATTCGTGTTTTTTTCTTTTTTGATAAACTCCTTTCATTCGTGTTATTTATACAGAAAATCTGCCAAATTTTAAGTCAGGGTGGGTGAAAGGATAATTAACCTCAGTGAGACTTCCGGGAAAGAAACCCGTTTCATTCATTGTATCCATCTCATTGAATCCTTCAAGGAGCCTTTCTTGGTTCTTGTAATATTCTGCCACCTTGCGTTGCTTTCCTACAATTAAAAAGTGTTGTAACAATAATATATGAATTGTGAGCATAGAGTCTAGCGAATGGAGACGATAGTCACAAGGAAAAGTACCATATGCCAAGACATAACACCAAAGACTTGAGTCTAACCCACATATTCTGTAGGACAGGCACAGGAAATATAGCAAACGATTCGTGAACATAATTTCAAATTAAACCAAGTAGAAAAGTAGGCAAGATATTTATGAACAGTTAGCTTCAGATGGAATTCGGTCTTTCTTACGCATGCAACATATTCTTTTCCTCACATGGAATCACCTAGTTTATAAACACGACTACTTCAAAAGAATCAAAACTGCAACCAACACGATTCTCAAATTTATAAATACACCAGACTAGATACCCACTGTTTCTATAATAATAACAGAGGCTTTTCATATTTAAAAAATAACAGATCCCTTCAAGTCTAACGACAGCGAAAAGAAGTGAAAGAAAATTACGGGGTCTGCGAAGAAGGCCTTTAAAGCCGAAAGAACGGTGATTAGGATGGTCACCACTATGGCTTGGCAAACGAAACTCCTTAACATTGAGTCTCCAGGACATTGGAGAAGAAGGCTTCGCCGACTTGACGTCCGACGACGGAAGAAGCGGTTCCCTTCTGCCGGCTTCCGTGATGGCGCTACTGCGACACTCATCCACCTCTGCCATGATTTCCGGATTCTTCTGAGAGCATTACGCTTTCTGTTGGTGGTGGTGGGAATGGCCGTGTATAGCACTTTACACGAAGGTTGTTACAACAAGGACGAAGTATGGGGGGAATATAAAGGACAATTTTACATCTGTTAATAATAATAATAACAATTAATAATCAATCTCGTGATCACTAATTCTTAATTTTTTTTGGAAGGCAATTAGCATTTTTCTTATTTTAATGCAATATTCATAGGCATAAAAACACAACATTTATTCTTTTTCTTAATATAAAAATTACCTTAATATAAAAATTAATTAATTAATTTGAGCAAATTGATAGAATTAAATAAATTAATTAAGTATAATAAATATATAACATACTACCATTATATAATAATATATTATATATTAATTTATAAGTTATTTGTAAATTAGACTAACTGGAAGAAAAATAATAAATATTAAAAATAAAATAGATTAAGATTTTATATTTAGGATTAAATCTAACTTCTTAGTTTGCCTTTGTATCAAGGATGGAAAGGAATGTAATTTATGGGATTCACCAATTATCTTCTTCTCATATTATCATTTGTAATTTTAATTATTAAAATCTGTGAGGTGTACGCTTTTTAACAGAAAGTGTCCAAGAACATGAGGTGTTCATACCGAAATAAGCAATATATAGATTATATATATTATATTGTACTTTTAAAAGACGTCCACAAATTTACTATATTTTGAATAAAAAGACAGCTGATTTTCCTTGAAGTAAAGTAGGGTAAGATTTAAAAAAGAAAATGAGAATAAAAGAAAAGGTAAAAATAATGCAGCCCACATTTTTTTTTATAAAAAAAAAATTATCTCACCCGTTTCTCTGTGTGTGTTTTGGTTTCTTTACTTGACTCTCCTCTCTTTTAGGAGATCTAAGTAGAAGACGTAAGTAACAAAATGAGCCATTAATTTGATAACTTTAATGGGCATGTTGGGCATTAGTTTGAATTTGTTGATGATAATGGTAATAATTTGAACATTGGAAATAACTGGAGAGCTAGAAAAGGAAAGTTGGGATTATCCCCTTTGACGTGTCGCTTTTATATTGGAGTTTTGAGGCTATTCGGTTGCGGAGAGTCACTGTCTGAGAATATTTGATAATATTATTATTATTATATTATTTGTGGCTTTTTTTTTTTGCCTCCAGAATATTTTATGCTCTCAAATTTTATCTCTGCTTTAAAGCGATCGCCAACACATAATTAAATAATATACTAAATTTATTAAATTACTATATATGTTATTTAGTATAAGAACTAGTTAACTAATTTGAATAGATTTAAAAAAACTAATCAAGTTAGTTATTTGTAATAAATAGGTATTGTATTTCTTAGAATATTATATTGTCTAGAATTATTACTATTACAAGGATTAGGCGGGGAAATGGATAAATATGAGAGAAAAAATAGATTGAGATCTTATATTTAAGACTAAAATAAAAATTAAACAAGCTCTTCTATTAAGAACTGAATGTAGTAGTATTCATAAAATAGATTATATATATATTAATTTTTATTATATTTGTTGACATTTTAATTTTTGGTTAGCAAGTGCTATTCTAATTTTTTTATAAAAAAAATACCTTAGACTTAAAGCACAATAATATCTTGTATTATAATGCGATAAAGCTTGTATTTTTTTTAAAACCAATGGCATCTTGTTATTGGTGCTGCTAGTTAAATATATTTATTTCATCTAAGACTTAATCTAATTTTTTTTTCAATAAATCAGGAGAAACCCCCAAAAAATACTCAAATATTCATCAATATACAATAACGATCAAATTACCATTAGTATGTATCAAATTGATTTGCCAAGAGTTCTATGTCATGTAATATTGGCGTTTTCTATTTAAAGTTATTACAGGTCACCTACCTTGATAGTGTCTACTAGTATTATTTTGGACCAAAACCAATTAAAACATCATAATAAACAATTATATACTTCTTCTCAATTTATGAGACATGGAATGAGATGGATTTCGTATGGTACAGTTGGCCCCTATCCAAAGAAAGCGAAAAAGCTGTTAAGCGCACTAAAGAAGGATTAATGCATATCCGTTACTTGATGTAATAGTCAGTTAAGTAATTTGAGTATATTAAAAAAAATTAGTTAAGTTAGTTATTTATAATAAATAAGTGCTATCTTTCTTAAAATATATTTATTAATCATATGTATTAGCTAGAATTATCATTTGATAAAGGATTTAATATGTGTAATTATTATAAAAACTATTTTATGAAAAAAATATAAATATATGAAAAATAAATTTAATTAAGATCTTATATTTAAAATCAAATTAAATATCAAACTAGTTTTTATATTAAACATTGAAAGTAGTATATTTGTATTGTGGAGAGACGTGCTCTTTTTTTTTTTGGGGCAATAATGAAGAGACGTGTTTTGTTGCAAAAATTCTTTTTGATAACTTGTTTGACTTGACGTTCTTCAAAGTAAAACAAAACAAATCTTTCCATTCGCTTTCATGGAAAAGTAGTTTGGAACCATAACTTTAAATGTTGGCACACGTAGGGTTGGCTTTAATAATTTTTGGAATAATTAAGATTAAATCCATATAATGAGTAATTTTTTTATTTTGTTTAAATGTATAACTTTCTCTTTTTATTTTAAAAACAAGGTAGAAATTGTCATTGTGTATGTTAAACGGGAAAAAAAAATAATTTAACCGTATTAATACTAATATGTTCATTTTTGTGGAGTATTAAACAATTTTTTGCCATCTATGGAGTATCAAACATTTATGGTAATTGATTGAGATAAATTATTCTTGAATTTTATATAAATGAAAAAATAAGCATGTAATCATGTGTTTTGATCAAATTTAAAAATGACATATATAATTTTTAATAATGATATTCGTAATAAAAATTTACAAATAAAAAAAATATAATCTCAGAAAAAGCAATAAAATAAATTTACATCATTTTTGAAAAAATAACAGTAATTAACAAGAAAGGAACATTATTCCTCAAATGCTTAATTATCAAATCATAAAGAAGTTAGGTCGGCACAAAGACTTTCCTAAAAGAGTGAGATGTTTCAATCATATAAGGAATTGAGCAGGGCACAATGGGCACCATTTGCAAATTTTTCTTTTTTAAAAAAAGAAATCTACTTTCCGTATACATATTTTTTTAAAAGAAACTTTGCGTATATATGTGGATAAACTTAAGCATGCTCATTTTTTGGGTGGAATAAATATGCTCATTTAATAATTATCACCATCATTATCATATTCATATGGCGGAGCATGTTGATGTGAGAAACAGACAATAAGTCCTCTCTTTTTCCTTCCCACCCACTTAGTGCGAGTATTATTTTTAAGGGTTACGCTGAATCAGCATCCAAAATATTTTTTCGGCTGATCCAATATACTAAAATTTTTATGATACATTTAGCATCTTGAAATTTTTTTAAAAATATGTCTATCATTTTAAAATATCTTTTTTTGCATCCAATATAATAAAGTATTTTTTTCGTGTGTCTCACACTAAAAAATATTTTTTGGCGCATCCAGTATCAAGGCAAAAAAAACTACTTCAGCGTGCTGGATGCCTCTGAAAAATATTTCAGGGTGTTAAATACATCACAAAATATTTTGGGGTGCTATATGCATTGCAAAATGTTTCAGGATGCTAAATGCAAATGAGAAAATACTTTCTTAATCCCATGTTCAATTGATTTATAAAGGCTGGCAAATGAATTTCATACATAATACTCCTTCGATCCTTAATATAGGACCCAATTCTTGAGTTCGTTTTGATCATAAATATAAGACCCATTTCTCATATTTATCAATTTTTTTCTAAATTATCCCTATGAATAGTCTCTCAACCATAATCAAGTAGAAGAGGGAGATGGGGTATTAAGAAAGATGATTATAGTGTTTTAGGAAAAATGTGTCACTTTTCTTATAATTAACTAACTTACCTAATTTCCTTAATCTAATCCAATTAGTTAAATGGGTCTCATATTAAAGATTAGAGGAGTAATATGGTTGATACATTATATTATAAATATTCAAAGAATATTTTAATCATCTAAAAAGCAGAAAAACGTGAAGAAAAAAGAGGAATGCTTTAAGCATTAAGCCTTTAAAGCTTTGACTGTGCTTTTTCTAGAAACATAAGATATTTAAATTAACCCATTCGGAAATAAATGATTTGATTAGGTACATAAGTAACAGATTGTGTGTTAGATATGGCCTTGGCCTGTTGATGGGTGCTTTTAATACTCGAATAAATAATAAATTACGTCGCTCGCACTAGGAAGAGATAAATATCAATGCCCCACTATTAAAGTCTATCATTTAATCATCATGTCTGATCTGTCTAATTATTACTTAATCATTCTGCATAGTGCATGTTACCAAAATGATAAGTCTTATATTAAGAAAATATGTATTTAATTGATTGGAAAGAGAGAGCTTATTGATTAAGAAAGTGATTTCATATCTGAGATCACAAAGTGGATAGAAGGATTAATTAATCTTTTCAACGCACTAATTCTAATCTGGTTCATCATGCTTGAGATCTTTTTGCAGATCACCTAGTGTATGTTTAATTTAGATATCAGTAACATAAAATGGTGTTTGAAAATGTTCAGATTTTCTGGCCAAAAAAAAAAAGAAAAAAAAATCAGTTTTGCCCAAAGTAATCTACTTGCACTAAGTAGATTTTGATCAGACTAGTCTAATGATATGCTTATCTCACACTCCTCCATTTTTAAATGTAGGGGTTGGTTATACGGTTGATTTTGATCCTAAATATAAGATACTGACCAACTCTTTTGTCTATTTTATCATTTTTATGAAATTAATTTATATAATATATAAACTCCACATAATCTAATGTTATATAAGTTATTTCAGATAAATCTTATTTGTTATAATTAATTATTTTATTTAACATTTTTAATCAAAAACGTCCTCCATGAAGTATAGGAGCTTGAGAAACCATTAGAATAAAGACATATTTTAAAGGGGCCAAAAGATATTGTTTCAGAATCCATTGGACAATTATTTGTTTTTGAATATCCAACAACATATATATAGTTTGAACAACGGTAAAAAAAAAAAAAAGCAAACATATTGGACATTTTTCAAAGACATGAAGAGCATATATTCTAGCAATAATATAAATTAAACTTAACTTCCTCCGAAAATTGAAGATAAAGGATAGACATTTTCTGACGTACAGAAGTATTTATATATCAATTAGTGACACTCATTTTAGGTCCTTTTTTTTTGGCCGAACATTTTATGCTATACAAATAGGTATATTGAAAAAAAAAAGTATTGATAGTAATTGCGATACATGTTAGTATTTGAAATAACTTTTAAAATTTAAATTGCTTAAATTGTATTTAAGTTCAATTGTGTTACAAAATATATTAAATGAGTTAAGGGAGTGTTTGGGATCATATAAAAGTACTTTTTAAAAAGGAGAATTATAATGAAATCTCAAACAAGAAAAACAATTAAAAAACAAGTTTCAGAAGTTGTCATTCTCACTAGAGGACTTGTTATTATAGACTGTTGAAGTTGTTATTGGGACCTTTTGGTAACTATTTTTCTTCTGTGAGATTTGGTTGTAATTCCTCCTTTTTAAAAACACTTTTTCGTAAAATGAGACAAACTCCTTTACATATTTATTTCGTATGCCTTAAAAAATACTTTTAAAATTATGGTTTGGTTTCCACCTAAATACCTATTAAGTGTATTATAGCTACCGAGAGTGAAATATTAAAATTACTTTAATCATAAAACTTTCATAAATGCCACAACTTAGAAAGCTAAACAATGATAGAAGAATTAATGAATCACATTATAAGCTCTTCAACAGATATAAAGTCATGGGATAAAAAGAAAAGCCTAAAATGAATCCACATAACAATTGTTCCTTTAGTCCTATTTATAGGATAAAGAGAAGATATTTTTTGATGCTATCTATAAAGCACTGAAAGAAATTTTTTATATAAATATCCAATTTTATTCTTCATTTATCATTGTGTTGATTTTATTTATGAGATATAACATATATTAAATAGAGATAAAATTAAAAAATTGTTGAATTTTAAATGAGAGTTAATAAAATTTAAAATATTCCTTAATCTATGTGAAACAGAAAAATGTTTTTTTTAAAAAAATCAAATCAAATCACAATTAATCACCACACTCACCTCAACAATACACAAGTTAATTAAAAATTAAACAAGAAATAGCCACGCCTCATCACATCCTCATGTAGTCCATTTTTTTTTTTGGCCAAACTCATGTAGTCTAAACTAGCTCTCTCACGCATCGGCGCCCACGAATAATTTTGTTATTTGGGCCTGAATTAATTAGGTCAAACATTCTTCAATTTCCCCCAAATTAATTTTGTGGCTGAGCCTGAGGATTGTGCGAGAGCTTGTGATCGGCGTCAAGGTCGACATGAACGAAGGCTCGTTCGATCTCAGGGAGCTTCTCGAGCTTATGTTGGAGAGTCTCGCCGATGTCATGAGCGAGAGGAAGAGGAGTGTGTTGAGGCAGTACAATGTCGACCTCCACGAAGTAGTTGCAGCCGAAGGTGTAGGCCCTCACTGTGTTTATGTGTTTTATCCTCTCGTCGTGGTTCCATATCAGGTACGTCACCTTGGCCAGGTACTCCGCCGGCGCCGTCCTTCCGATCAGTGACCACACGTTCTCCATCACCGTCCTCGCCCAGTTACTTATCGTGTATACTGCTATCTGCATTTCCCCAAAAAAAAAAAAAACTTCATTGCTGTTTCTGGGCTGGCCTTTTAGGTAAACTAATGGGCCTTAACTTATCTACATTGTAAGCTGTTAAGAAAAGCTAGAATAGGCTAGAATGCCAACGTCAATGAACCTAGGAAAGTTACTTATATTTAGTATCAACAGGGGAAAAAAGAGGGTAGAATACGTGGAAAGAAGATGCTCCAACAGGGTCAATTCTGTCTTTGGACTAACTTTTGGGTAAGTTAATGGGCACGAACTTACCTAAATTGTACCTCATTACGAAAATCTAGAGAAGGCGACAGGTGTCGAGTCTAATAAAAAAAAGTTAGTTTATGGTAATACGATAAATTAAGGTTTAAATTCACATTAGGAAAAATATCCATCAAGCACTGTCTCAAATGGAATTATTTTTAATAAAAGAATACTTGTGCCTAGCAAAAAAGAAAAAAAAACAAAAAGAGATCAATGTAGATTGGGTTTTGGCGTAAAGATAGCCTCTTGCAATGTAATAAATTAATATTCAAATTTCTAAAAAGAGACGTTGGTTTAGCTCAAAGAGTTGACGAATTAAAATTCAAATATCTAGAGAGAGATGCGTATCTACTGCTCTTGAAGAAGAAAACCTATGCTAAAAGCAAGAGAAAAACTAAAGAGAGCTATAGGGAGGTACTAGAATGGCTGGTACCGCGGGTACCTCCTGACAATGAACTTGGGAAAGGGGGAAAAAAAGGTACAATATGCGGAAAGAAGATGGCTCCAAAGACGACCAATTCTGTATGTGGGCCAGCTTTCAGGCAAGTTAATTGGCATAAATTTATCTAAATTGTAGCCTGTTAAGAAAATCTAAAAAGACGAACAGGTTAAATCCAGTGAAAATAGTTAGTTTTTTTATAATATAATAAATCAAAATTTGAATTTACATTGAGAAAGTTATTCATATTCAGTGTTTGATTATGTCTCAAATAGGATTGTCTTTAATATAATGATACTTGTGTCTAGCAAAGGAAAAAAAAACTAGAGAAAGACCAACGTAGACTAAGTTAAGCATAAAAAACTAACCCCTCACAATACAGTAAATTAGGATTCAAAATTCTGAAGAAAGATGTTGGTTTAGCTCAAAGAGTTTGTCCTTTACAATACGATGAATTAAATTTCAAATATTTAGAGAGGTGCTTATTTACTGCTCTTACAAAAGAATACCTATGCTAAAAGCAAGAGAAAAGCTAAAGAGAGCTGTAGGGAGGTACCAGGATGGCTCCAAGAGGGTCAAGCCACCAGAAGAATTTGATGGCTAAAACGGCAGAGGCTAAGCCCACAGAGTTGGTGATGACATCAAAGAAATGATCCTGTGCATAGGCCCTCACGATCTCATTCTTGAACCTCCTGCAGTAACTCATCAGCCCTACCTTCACCACCGTCGCTCCTACCATTATCCCCACCATCCATTTCTCCTTCTCCTCATCCCTGTCCGGCTGAGCCTGTCCTTCCACGTCCAAATCATTTTAATTACTCCTCAATTTTAATCATTATTAATCAACTTTCTAAGCATGCTTTATTAATTCATTATTCTTGCATACCTTTGTCATGATTTGCCTTGCTGATTCAAACAGAATTTGCAGCCCAAGAGTTGCCATCACTGATGCAAACACCACTATTCCCTATACAGATATTGCAATGGATTGAGTTTTATTATTGAGAAAAGACCAATTGAAATGACTCTAGATTTCATAAGAAAAGCTCTAATAGTACTGAACTAAGTCATTGAGAATAATAATGTTTCATTTGACATGTGGGGCCTGTCAAAATCTTATCTTTTTCTCTCTCAACTTATTTAGTTTTGGATTTGGAGAGAAATATCTTATTTCTCAAACTCTGCACATCTAATCTGTGCATAGAAGAATGGAAGCTGACTTAAGAATGATCGAATTACCACAGGTTGCATGCGGTTCTTGCCAACAGGGTATTGGTGAAGATTGGGCTTGTTCATGGCATAAGAAGTGAACCAGAGAATGAATCCAGACAAGAGATCCAAGAGAGAGTCCAGAGTGGAGGCTATCACAGCCAGTGACCTGCTCTCTATGGAAGCAAACAACTTTGCCACAAACAGCACCATGTTGAATATGTTTGATGCATATATTGCTGCCATCTCTCCCCTCTCTAGCTTCTTTGTCTCTTCCTACAAATCATCACCATAGCCAACAATATAACTCATTTCTCAGACTCTATACAGTACAAGAAAAACTATACATATGCTAGTTATGAGGACCTTGCAGCCCAACTAACACTAAGTACCCCATATTAAGTACTCTTTTATTCCTATTTATAAGGTAGAGAAAGAAGAATTTTTTTAGGTCCTATTTATGAGTTATCTTATTAAATTTTTAATATGAATGTACTATTTTATTATTCATTTATTATAGTGCATATAGTTATTTTTTTAAAGGTGTATATATTGAATAGGAGTAAAGTTGAAAAGTTGTTATATTTTAAAGAAGAATTAATACAGTTGAAGGTTTTCTTTAGTCTGTATGAAATATAATAGAAGTGCTTTATAAATAGGACTAGAGGAGGAGTATAAGATATTATGAGCTTGAATATTTATTAGAGAATATAATGGGTGTGTGAGTTATGAGAAAAGAAGAGAAATTGTAAAACCCATAGAATTCAAATTTGAAAAGAAAGTAACTAGAGAATCAATCAAACCAACCTCCGTCAAACTATTGGGTAATACGCCCAATTCAGTATATGAATCCACTTCCTGATAGCCTTGCAGGACCCTTTCCTGCCTATTGTAATACTTGGCAAGTCTTCTTTCTCTCCCTGCTTGTATAGAACAGATGAAGATGGTAACAAAATCAGGCAAATTAAAGTAGCAGAACATAATTGATCATCATTGAGATTAAGGTATTAATTACTTAATGTGTTGAGGAAGAAGCCAAAGCCAAAATGAGAGTGCATGTTCCTCTCAGGCAAATGATACTGATCCATATTGATTCTCCATGAGGGTTCCCTAGCTGCCATCGTCCCATTCTGCAGCTTTGATAAGGCTGGAGAAAGAAGCTCGGTTCTGTAATCAAACGACTCGTTTCCAACATCATCCTCCATTTTTTCCTCTGTCTTTTCTTCTGCTCTTAGCATATATGCATATATATGCTATCTGCAAATGTATAGAGTGAAAGCCTCAAAGGGGTTTATTATTTTTTATATTATGTGGTTTGGGTGAAAAGCATCACCTGAGATGGCTATAAGAAGGCATGAAGAATGCTTGAAATCCCCAAAGTTCTCTTGTTGTTGCCAAGTCTTCAATCTTTAATTTTCTTAGTGACTTCTCCGAAGTTGACCTCATCAGGTTTTTTGGAGTTTATATATATAGTTATATATATAATAAAGTATGAAAGGAATATTCTCATTGGGAATATATGTTCATGGTGTTTTATAAGTAGTAGGTTTTGACTGCGTCACTGTGGGAAGCTTTGTATAACAAAAGATATGCTAAATGAAAAAAGAATCTAATCTATGAAATATAATGATAAGTGTGTATATGAATGCTGTCTATTTCTGATATGGAGAATTCAGCGATTAAGTGTCACGTTACACAAATTAGTTTAGCTTCTCCAAGTTTCCAGGCTTTAGTTTTTGAATAATTATATTTATTTGCGTGTTAGCATGAAACATGAACGAGAAGTGAGGCTTAGGCATATTAATTTCTTCAGTCTTCACTAACTGGCCAGCCCCAGCATTGGTCGAAATTAAAGTTCATGATATTCAAAGTCACCACCCATATCTTCACCTAGGAAACGGACGGGGGATTTTAATAAGCTGAATTTAAAAAAAAATGAAGAAGTGGGGTTTCAAAATTTTAATTAAAAAAAGATGTAAGATAAAAGAGTAATAAAAATTAATTTAAAGTTTTTAACTCCACTTCAAATCAAGTTCATTAAAATTTTCCCCATTCCCTCCATTTTTTTCATACCAAACGGACCTTAAGGTCTCCTTTCTTTAATTATTTTACATTTTTATTTGTACAGCAAAGAGGCCTTGATTATTTCTTTCTCTCTGTTTTTTTTGGGAAAAAAAAATAAAAAAAAGCATTAGTTATTTTAAGGATTAAGGTACATCTAGCATCTTAAATTATTTTGTCAGGTATATCCAGCACCTTAAAATATTTTATAGTGCATCTAGCATCTCGAAATATTTTTTAAGTGCATTCAACACCTTTAAATATTTTTTTTGGGCCTTAGTGTTGGATACACCAAAATTTTTTTTTTAGATGTTGGACTCATTGAAAAAAATACTTTAAGATGTTGGATTCACTAAAAAATATTTTAAAGTATTGGACGCATTTAAAAAAATATTTAAAAATACTAGATGTACCACAAAATATCTTAAGATGTTGGATGCACTAGAGAAAATATTTCGGGATATTTGAAATATCTTAACTAGGGGTGAAAATAGGCTAGGCTCCCATTAGAGGTCCATGGCGTAGCCTACATAAAACCTAGCCTAGCTATTTAGTAAATAGTCCATATCCATATTCAGGCCTATTTTTAGGCTTATTTAAGCAAACAGGCTAAGCTTATGTTCATAAAGCCTAGCTTACAAACTTACAGACTTAGTATATTTAGTTTTTTTTAATTAAATTTGTGTTGTTATATATTATAAACCAATTTTATAAAGTATATATAAAATCACAAACTTTAATTTGACCATGAGTTTCACATCATAACATTCCTATGTAACATTCTAATTTTCATATATTTAATATTTAAACAAATTTTTATAGAATAGGTAGAGGTTAAATATACATATATGTAATTAAAATAATTTTGATTTTATGTATGTGTGTGTGTGTGGGTATGAGAAAATGAAAAAAATAGCAATATTAAGAAGTCCCACATTGATTAAATGATAGGAAGATGGATAAAATAGCAATGTTAAGAAGTCCCACATCAACTAAATGATGAGAAGAGGAAGCTGTAGGAGCCTATATATAGGTGGTAGTAGGGGAGAGTTAACGATGAATTAAATAATTTTCGCACAAAACTGAGATAGTCTTAGTAAAGTGTTGTTTACGGGTTTGTAAACCATTGGATCGGGCTGCAATTCGGTCAGCTGATCCTAGACTTCAAACTCATTAGTTTCAACGGTTGGATCGTCAATTTAATGTCTGAGTTACAGGTTATTAGGTACGTTTTTCATTTAGTTTTTTAGATTTGGTAGATAGAATACTAGATAGTAAATTAGTGTTTTTAAATTTTTTCACCATTGGATTAACCCAAAATTTAGAGAGTAGTCTTGGGACATGTAAGACATTAAATTCAACGGTTGGATTAATAATTAGACTTCTACAATAAGAATAAATTAACTCATATTGAGGCTATTTGTCTAAATTCTTTGAAGATAGAACATAAGTTATAAATTGAGGGTTCTTTATCTAGGTTATGAATTTGGTGCTTCAAATGATATAATTTAATAATTAAAGATAACGTAAGTTAAGAGAGCCTAGGAATTGAGTATAAATCATCACATATATGCTCTTACCCTAAACCTTAGAAAAAGCCTTTCGAGCTAGAATTTCGAGTAACAGCTGAGGGTATTAGAGGGAGTGTTAAAGGTTAGAAATTTGTGAGTAGTTTACTCTAATACTGTAGAAATAATATTTTAATTTCAATTGTAGATATAAACCCTATTGTGGCATTTTCGAGTACGGGCCTCATTTGTACTTGATTGTTAGCTAAGAGACCAGGTAACTAAATTTCTATCTGTTACATGCATTTGTATGAGGTTGGTGAGTGATTTTATAACTAAGTTTTGTATACATATATTACGTTTTGCATGAACTATCTTGTGGGATACTGTTTTGAAAAGAATTGAAATCATTTGTCTTGTTAGAAATTAACGATTATGACTATGAGGTGTCATTCTGGAATTCGGTTGATTATACATATAAATGTGTTATTTTGAACCCTGTACATCAATGAACAAAAAACCGGATCAGACACTGAACCGGTCTAGATAGTGGGTCAAGGGTTAATGGGTCAGACCGGGGTCAAACCGGTTATATTAAAATAATATAATTTAATTAGCAATGACAATAAAAATAACATTCATTAATAATAATCATTTAACAAAATACAAAAAATAACCAACGTGGTTTAAAGTTTAAACATTTAATTGTATCAAACTACCATTAACAAATATATATCTTCATCACTATAGAAAATCAAAATCATCATTAAATTCATTGGTAGGGCCAGGAATGGAGACATCAATAATTGGAAGAGGAAAAGTAGAAGGAGTAGCAACATCAACTTGCAGAGGTGGAGGTTCAACAATATTCATATCATCATCACCACCTAAATAAGACAATAACAAACTGTCAATTAAGTGTAAATCAATATTAAAATAAAAATATTTATAACTTCTAAGAAACTAAGATAATAATACCTTCATTATCCCTCCCAGGAGTTGTCAAATTTGAAATGTCTTCATTGTTGAAAACACTTTCAAATGTCGCCACATCTCTATCATCAAACTCTGGAACAGGATCTTCTTCAGTCACCCAAAAGTCCACCAAATCAATGTTTTCATAGTCAATAGGATCATAACTTGCCTTCTGCTTCTTCAATGTACTCCTGACAAATAAAATTTCAATTAGATGTAAATCCATATCAAAATAAAAGCAGCCATAACTTATAAAATTACCTATGCTTCAATCGCAAGTTATAGTTTGTGAAAACTAAATCATTTAGCCTCTTGTGCTCCAATCTATTTCTTCTTTTTGTATGAATGCGTTCAAATAAACTCCAATTCCTTTCACAACCAGAAGAAGAAGAAGTTTAACTAAGAATGCGCATTGCAACACGTTGCAACTCTGGCACTGAACATCCATAATATGTCCACCATTCATCTAAATCATGAAAATATGAAATATAAAATTAGTGAATGACCATCAATATACTATTAACTATTAAATACAAACACTTACAAGGGTCAAGTTTCTGTGCTGCTTTTTGACATGATGGTCTAGTGAAGGATTCTTTAGCTTCACGATAAGTAGTTGCTTGTTTCATTACCAAGAAGCCATCAACCTCTTCATCTGAGTAAGACTCTACCACATCAATTAAAGCCATCATTAACTTTGACTTGATCGGGCAGTCTGGAGCATATGTGATTGCAGGATTCAAATGCTTATCCCATCGAGTTTGAATGATTGTTGTGTGCGGCTTATACATGTCCTTGTTCTTCTTAAACATCTCTTTAATTTCCATTTTTGCCCTTCGCATGCCTTTATAAACATAAGGTAATGAAGGCTTCTCATCTGAATCAACAATTCTCAACAATTTTATAAGAGGAGATACAATTTTCACAACTTGATAACAATCATTCCAAAACCGATTGTCCAATATGATTGCACTGAAATTTTTTCCTGCTTCAGTCCTTGATAATTTGTGGTCCACATAGTGTTTATCAACAACTAAAGCCTGCAAGTCATTCTTGTGCATATATATGCTATGCAATGTAATAAATGTGGTAGCAAATCTTGTGGCACCAAGACGCACAATTTCTTTCCAAGTCGGTCTTTTCCTCAGCCATGATAAGAAAACCATATGATTATATGCAAATACAGTTATCTTTGATGCCTTTGATGCAAGGTCTGACACATGAGGCATGCTTGAAAAATCTTTTAATACAAGATTCAAACAATGTGCAGCACAAGGTGACCAATAAATACTTTTATACTTCTCTTTAATCAATCTACCACATGCTACATAGTTAGCTGCATTGTCAGTCACCACATGAACAATATTTTTAGAACCAATCCACTCAATGACTTCACAAAATAGTGTGAATAGAGTTTTGGCATCTTGAACTAGATCTGATGCATCAACAGACTTCACAAATACCATACCATGTGTAGAATACACTAAGAAGTTTATCAAAATATACTGTCTAACATCAGTCCATCCATCAGCCATGAGTGTGCAACCATTGTTTTTCCATTTAGCTCGATGGTTATCAATGAGTAACTAACATTCTTTTCTCCAGTCACTCAACAAGTTGGTTTTAAAATCATAAGCTGCATTGTCAGTCACCACATGAACAATATTTTTAGAACCAATCCACTCAATGACTACATAGTTAGCTGCATTGTCAGTCATCACATGAACATTGTCAGTCATCACATGAACAATATTTTTAGAACCAATCCACTCAATGACTTCACAAAATAGTGTGAATAGAGTTTTGGCATCTTGAACTAGATCTGATCCATCAACAGACTTCACAAATACCATACCATGTGTAGAATACACTAAGAAGTTTATCAAAATATACTATCTAACATCAGTCCATCCATCAACCATGAGTGTGCAACCATTGTTTTTCGATTTAGCTCGATGGCTATCAATGAGTAACTGACATTCTTTTCTCCAGTCACTCAACAAGTTGGTTTTAAAATCATAAGCACTAGGAGCTTTAAACCCAGGCCCTATTGAAGCAATGCCATCCACAGCTTTTTGAAATAAAGGACAATCAAACGCTTTAAACGGAATGCCGTTTACAATAGCCCATTCAGCAATCAATATTTTCACATTATGCTTTGCTTCTTTAGTTGCTAATGCACTCTTAATGCCAGGTTGGGAATCAGGAGTTGTCCTATGAGCAAAAAAATTGTCTATGCTCCTAGAAGCTTTCCTCTTCCTCACACTACTTGTGACATTTGGTGATTCAACATGAGTTTCTCCTACTTTCTCTTCTATGTTTTCAATTGTTTTCTTCTTTGACCCTTCTTTTAAAGATTTTGTCATTCTATAACGTACATCATGTGGAACTTTTTTACAAGCAGCTATTTGACCAACAGTGCCAGCAAGATGTTGCTTCATCCTATTTATCCCACCTCCTCTATAACTATTAGTACAAAAAAGACACGTATATATATTTTGTGTTCCTTCTTTTTTGTACGCAATATGTGCCCATGCTGGATCAGTTTTGGCACGTAATGAGGATGTGGGTGTGGAGGTTTCGGTAGGGGGATTTGAAGATCCAGTATTAGGAGTCATGTTGTCATTTCCAGAACTTTGGTTATTTGAAATATCCATCACTGCTACTAAAAAAACAAATCAAAAGCTTAACACAACATTAATGATTAAACAATCAAGTTATTCAGTTTCAGATTTCATATTGAACAAAGTGGGGAACCGTCCATAGTTTTAAAACCGAAAACATATTCAAACTTCACTACTTCAGTATATAACTATATACAATGAAATGACCACAATTTTAAACCAAGCACAGTTCACAATTTTGAAACCAAACAAGTAATTCTAAACTAGAGCATCAAATTATTCCAGAGTACCAAATTAATGAAATTATTCCCTTGTGCAAACCAAACATAGAATATCCTCAAGCAGATACAAATTAATTTTCACAGAATATCCTCAAGCAGAAGCAGAATTCAGATTCCAGAATGGAAAAATCAAACCATAAAAATAATAGATGGCAGAGATTATCATCGTCACTTCCAAGTTCAAACAAAAATGGGTGAGTTTGCTGAGAGTGGCCGAGAGCAGAGACTGAGAGTTCAAACGAAAATTGAGAGGCTGGACTTGGGAGAACTGAGATCGACGAGCACTCAGCCGCTCACTAACAACTTGGATCGGCGACGACAGGGCACCGACAGCGTGGGCAAGGAGAGGAGCTTCAGGCACGGGCAAGGCGAGGAGCTTCAGGCGAGGCGACGGCAAGGCACCGAGCAGCTTTAGGTGAGGCAGGGGACGACGATCGACAACCACACCGAGAGTGAGGGCAGTTAGGAGTGCGAGCTTCAGCGAGTTGGGAGATTCAGTGAGCACACACCGAGGACGGGGCAGTGAGCACACGGTGGCGAGATTCAATGAGCTGGGACTAAGGACAGGGAAGTGAGCTGAGCACACGGCGGCTGCGAGGGTGACCGAGGACGAGATGGAGATTGGAGACCGAATGAGGAAGAAGGAGACGGGCGTGGGGTCAAGCAAGGGTGCGAGGTCGAGCCGGTTTTGGATTCGGTTTGCAATTTTTTTTAAATGAAATGACGCCGTTTTTTGGCGCTAGAGGGGGCAGAACAGTGAATCGAATAAACCACCTAAACCGGCAGTTTACCCGGTTTAACACCAGCTCAACCGGTTTACCACTGGTTCAAACCCTGGCCGGTTCTTGCCTTAACCCAGACCGGACATTAGGCCAGTTCACCGGTTGAACCGGCCGGTCATGTCTGGTTTTTTTTCCATGCTGTACATCTAGTTTCAGTGGGGGATGGAGATGATTGGAGTTATTGAGATTTATATACTTACCACGTGGTATTGGCCTCCTTATGGAGCTTTATGGTTGGCCACTATTTTTTCGAGGGACTGCGACACCCCACTAGTTCTTCGAGGGGGGACCCTGTTGGAATGGCTGAACACCCAAGAGGGGGGGTGAATTGGGTGTTGATTAAAATTAAAAATCTTTTCGCATTGTAATGAAATTCATAAGAAATTCTGAGTATAAAAACAATGAATCGAGGTAAGCATAATCACAGTAGTAAAATGGTTTAGCTGGAAATATAAAGAGGTAAGGGAAGAGAAGATGCAAACAATGATTTATCCTGGTTCGGTCCTCACTGACCTACGTCCAGTCCCCAGGCTCCCCCTGAGATTTTCAATCGACTATCTCCCTCAAGTTTAACACGGGTACTTGAGAACCACTACAATCACAAGTTTGATCCGGGCACTTGTGACGCCACTTACAATTCTTAGACTAATCAGTCTATTCAGCAGCAACCTCACACCGAGGTAAATACTCCCCCTTACTCACCGTAAGGATACAATCTAATAATGATAATGAAGATTGAATATTTCTTCTCTCAAAGAAGTGATAGACGACTCTTTAAGCACGTTTGGGAAACTCTCCTCTCTATCTTACGAATACATAAGTTTTAATCTATGAAGTACAGAGACAGGGAGTTTTCTTTCGGAGCTCTAAATGAGAATACGTTGCTTCGGCATTTTAGCACTTGATGTTGTAAGCTCAGACTCTTCTCCTTTTTTTCTTGTTTTGAATGCTCTTCTATTTATAGATGATGTTGGGTACTTGACCGTTAAGCATTTTCTTCCCGTTTGGCTTGAAGAATATGACCGTTGAAACTAGCCGTTGGAAGCTCCTGATGAAAGTTGATTCTTCACATCATAAATTCGTTGTGGCTCTTTACCTGAAATAATCTTCCTCAAATCAAGTGATAAGTATCTGATAATCTTAGAAACAATAAGTTGGAAAACATGGAATCAATCATCAGATCTTCAGATATTCAGAAAGTAAAATAAACTTACTTAATCGATGCCTTGATCGATAATCCTTTGATCGATTATATTATCGATTAATTACATGAAGAAAAGATATAGCAGATAGATGCAATTATCGAATAGATTATGGATCATATGATGATCGAACAAATTATCGATAAATGATGAAGCATGAATACAGTGACCCAAAAATGATTTATGCAAGAATAAACCTTTTCAAGTTACTTTTGCCTTCGTATCCTTTTAATAGAGAGTTATGTGTAAAAAGAAGGCTGAGAAAAACTTAAAGATAAAAGGATAAAAGATTTCGAAATCACCGTGAAATGCTGTTATGAAATGAACTTGCACAATGATCGAACAAGTGATCGAAAACTTGTTGATCGATCAGGTTATCGATAAACAAAATGTTATAGAATAGAATTTTAAGTAATGATTTTCCGAACACATTATCGATAAACAAATAATAGATAACCTTATCGATAAACAATAAGCAAAAGTATATTCGGAGAAAACACATGCTATGTAGGTTGATCGAATAGGTGATCGATTAATGAGTGATCGATAAAGTTATCGATAAAGTAAAACAAGGAGATTTAATCCTGTAAATTCAAAGAACTAATTTATCGATCACGTTACATGAAAAACAGGGTAGACATGTAAGAGCAATGATCGATCATATTATCGATAAATCACTGATCGATGAGGTAATCGATAAATGGAGACTAAAGCAAAACATAGAATGAGTAGAACGCATTACCATTTATCTGTCTTCTCATCGATAATCTATTTATCGATCATGCTATCGATAAATGCCTATTTATCCATAACGTTAACCTTGTTTATCGATCAAGTGATCGATAAATACATTTATCCATAATGTTATCCGAAAACCATTTATCCCACAGGTTATAAAACCTCAATAATGCATATGAAGATAAAAGAGAAGAATTGAGGAGATAGTACCAGTAACTCGATGAGTTTGTAGTCGCTTGATCTGGCTCGAGTAGCATGTGATAATGGCTTTTCATTTCTTCATCTCTTCTAGAGCTTTTACTCAATAACATGTTTGAGTAGCATGTTGCTTGAGAAGTTAATTGTTCAGTGTAGAATTTCTGGTCTTTGCCTCAATAAATTCGAAGTCTGATTCCAGCAAAACGAAGGTCAACTTTGAGTGATCATAACTCTTCCAATTCAACTCAAAATTTTGCAAATGACATATCCCTAGAAAGATCTTTGAGTCTACTTTCTAACTCAACAAGAATCACCCCAAAATTCGTTATGGTTGCAAAGTTATCTTCATCACAATGACTAAAGGTCAGAATAAAGGCGTTAATCCTTACTGCAATCTTTCGAACAACATATCTCCCTCATATGAAACTCTTTGAAGGTGAATTTGGTGTCCATAAACCGTGTTCTGAGTCTAGTTTCATAGGAATCAAGTTTCACCTCAAACGGATTTGTGATTTGAGAGATATTGAAGAAATACCAAACCTATGTCAGAGCTGAACGAAGAACAGAGTATAACAGAGGATGTATTTTATCGATAACTTGATCGATAAATGGATGATCGATCAAGTGATCGATAATTGCCCATAAAAATCACCTCTGAAGCTTATTTTCCATGTTTATATGAAGGGTGACTCAATATATGATGGTATAACTTCCCGTTTGTATATTTTAGATTCCGACTGAGCCATTCAAACTTCTGATTGAGTATAGCAACATTTAACATCAAATCTATGAACTTGAATCTTGATATTTTCATTTGATCTTGCAAGTTCTTCTTTTCTCAATCTCTCTTCTTCTTCTTCCTCTTGATCATTCTCCATAACTTAAAGTGCAACATAATAACTCCTTTCTTTTCTTGAGGAAACTATACATGATAGTAAGTATGATAGTTAGTCAAAATATGAGATAAATAATTTATGTAAACTTTTTGCTCTATTATTTGACGTCATCAGAACTAATCATATCTAACA